TTAACTTCCTGCCTTTACAGACCTTATTCTAGAAGAAAGAAATTATTACAAATAATGACAAATTGTGTTCAGTGGCATGAAGGAATGTCCATAAGCGATGGAAAAGGTGGTCAGGGAAATAGGTGGCATTTAAGCAAAACTTGAAGACTGAGAAAGGAACAGACACACAGGAAGGTTAGAGGATGAGGCAAATGGACCTACCATGCATTGCAACAGGATGGCCAGAAGGGTAGTTCAAGTCATATCACTGAAGAATCTGTTGAAGATCCTTTTTCACAGATAAAGGAATAACCATCTGTTAAAAACAAATGCTTACCTTTATAAATTTGAAGTGCTAACCTATGGAGACTCTAGGTGACATAGCAGATTACAGGATGAGATTTCTACCTAAAATGCAGAACTGTTTTTCAACTATCAGAACCAGGGAATATTATAAAGCATATCTGCTAGGAATCAGGAGGCCATGGCTGGATCTGCAACTCTCTAGGCACATGGTCTGCACCATGACATTTAACCTCTCAAACCCTCCACTGCTTCCTCTCACAAGTGGGGCTGGTAGTGAACATCAGATGGGACAATAAACATGAAAAACACCCACCACACAGGGCACGTCACATAAATTCACTGATGAGATGTGGATCTAAGTTTGTCACTAGCACTTGACACTAGGTTTCTCTCTGAGGTTCCTAGTTGGCAAAATGTCACACTTGTAGCCTCAGAAATACGGGAAGAGTCATAAAGATGGCAAGAAGAAGTGGTCAGAGGGAGCATTAAGAATTTTCAAACTGAAAAGTAAATGGGCCATGGTATTTGGCATGCTGGCAGCCAGTACAGTGCTCTGAAAGTTGTATCATGACTTCAAAGTAGCCTATTGCTGAAGCAAATCAGGTTTTTCAACAAGGCTGTTAGTTCATTACTATTTATTTATCAAAGAGCACAACTTAAATATGGTACTTTCTTGAAATATGAATTCAACTTGGAGCTCTTGAAGATTCAACCAGAGCTAGTGAATTTCAGATCAATGAAGAAATTGTTTGAGAAATACTAGTATACACACTCTGAGTAGAGCCCCACTGGTATGCTAAGGGTTTATATACACATTATCATAAAATCAACAACCCAAAATTGCAAGTGGCCTCATAATACAATGAACCTACAAAGTAGGCATTGCAGGTCTTTATTTTATCAAGCACATTAACTTAGTTCCTGGGGTCACAGTTTTGGTTATTCTTCCCTTAGAAGTAATATCATAATCGTTGTAGCTCTGGCCCTTTAACTCAGTTGGTTAGAGCATCATCTCAATACATCAAGGTTTCCGGTTCAATCCCTATCAGGGCACATGCAAGAATCGACCAATGAATGAGTGAACAACAAATTGATGTTTCTCGCTCTCAAATTCATTTAAAAAAAATTAAAAATATCATAACCATTCTATTCCCACCAGTGAAGTGGTAAAGGTTTCATATTAAAAATTGTGTATCTATAACACACAATCTGCTAAGTCTAAGTCAGTGGTTTTCAACCATCACCCTATAAATTTTTGAAATGTAGATGTCTGGAAGTCTGTCTTAATGAGACTGGACCCAAATTTCAAAAGCTCCTCATGTGATTCTAACTGAATAAAAATTTCCCAGCCAATCTAAGAATGACCTAAAAGCAACTACTTCGATTGACTAAAGCACAATCAACTTTACAAATCCTCCCATCATTTTTTTTTCTAAATTGTTTACCTTTCAATCATAACTTTTTCTAATTCCTTTTCCCCCCCTCAAACTTAGAACATACACAGTAATCCCAGGTGCTGGTGTTAGTGTGACTCTGCTCTTCTTAGGAAAGACTGCTGGCTAACCTTCTGCTATTTCACTTAACAATATACATTACTTGTTTTTTATGATGTTTTGAAGGTCGTTCCCCAAAGTAATAAAAGCCATTGTCTCCATTCTCTGAGGATAGGAGCAAAATATGATCTAAAAGCTTGTCTAGGTTTGGAAGTGATTAATGTAGATTCTTATGATGAAGGAAATGAAAATGAGAAATCTGGATAAGTAATCACTGTTTCAACAAAAACAATTTCAACAAAAAATGAGCTTGAAACAAAGAGAACAAACTGATAATGCCAACAGCAAATAAATTATTCTCTGAGTGTTAGAAACAGACCTTGTGATAGCATTTTAAGTTTTGTGAATTCTTTTGATTCATGGCACTTCCTACTGTTACTGCAGAAGAAAGGGACACTATTGCAGCCCATGTTTCACAGGTACTTGAAATGCAATTTGAGCAGAGAAGGAGAGATTTCAAATGAATGCACAGATGTGTCCGGAAATGGTGGTTGCATAGAGAAAGCATCTCCCCAGGGCTTCCTATAAACCAAGGAGACACAACCAAGCTTGTCCTTGTCATATTCCCTGGGCCACCCAGGAGCTGTGAGACCACCTTAGAAAGCAACAGCATCTGGGAACTCTGGTCAGGATCTTGTCTTCACCCTATAGCTGGAGACAGAACATTTCAAAGGAAATATTCACCTTGGTAGGATGCCACCTACATTGCGACTTGGCTAAGACAATGTCTCTGAGTGCATTCCTAGTCTCAGCACCCCAAACTGACACTCCAGACCCTCAGTACATTTTCAGTTTTTTTTTTTTTTTGAGGTTGTGTATACACACTGTCAATAACTCAGCAACATAGGAATCTTCTGCCAACCATGACCAAGCACACCTCTTCCATTTCTATCTCTAGTCCTGCACATCCACATTCTCACTTGATGTTTCAACCACCTTCAATTCAACACACCTAAACTGCACTCACAAGTTTCTGCTCTTATCCTCTAAGTATTACACCTACACTCTTCCTACCATAGTGGCTGACCCACACAGTATACCAGTTATAAAACTCACAACACTGGAAATCATTTCTAATCCCATCATCAAATCCAAGTTCCATCTTCTCCCCCATAAATAACCACAGACTTCTAGCTCTTCTCATTTCCATTCTCATATCCCTTCTTATCTAGTCTATAGCCAGATTTTATATATACATATAAAGGTTAATATTAAACACCCTGTTTGTTTTGTATGTCTGGAGATCCCTGACTAAAACAGTATATATAAGGAGATTTTATAGTAAGGAACTGGTTCTCCTGATAATGGAAGCTGAGAAGTCCTTACTTGCAGTCAGCAAGCTAGAGATCCAGGAGAGGTCAATCAGAGAAGAAGACCAATGTCCCAGTTCATGTAGGCAGGCAAAGTTTCTTCTGATTCAGCCTTTGTTATAATCAGGTCTTCAGCTGATTGGATGAGGGAATGAGGGCAATCTACTGAGTCCACTGATTTAAATGTTTCTATCATCTAGAAATACCCTCACAGATACACCCAGAGTAATGTTTGACCAAATGCCTGGGCACCCTGTGTTCCAATAAGATTGACAGATAAATTTAACTACCACAGTAATCTTTCCAACATGGACATTAGTTCATGTTATCCATATCTTTCTAAGGCTCTATAAATGTTTTATTGTGTCACCATATTCTGCAAGGCCATGCCTAACTTATCTCTTACCACTTCTTCTTACTACCACAGTTTCTATGAACTTTCTTTCAATTTTTTAAGCCACATAATTATTTTTTTCTCCTAAAAGTCTTCGTGCATGCTGCTCCCTCTGCTTGAAACACTCATCTTTCACCACATTAACTCCTCCTTATCCTTCAGATGTCATCATACGTCTTCACAGACTCCAACTCTTCCCACAAGCCAGTCCCCAGTAATATAAACTCTTATAATCCCCTGAACTTCTTCATTAAGGAATCCTTGTCACCATAAACCAATAGCTGCTTAATGTATTTCTTCCACAACAGAACATAAACTCACTAAGCCAAGGAGGTCTATATTGTTTACAACTATAACCCCAGCATTTTGCATATAATAGGAATTCAATAGATGTTGTCCAGATAAATGAGTCACTTCCTAACAACTCTTCCAGGCTTGGAAAGAGGCCACTTCTCTGTCTCTATAGGTCTAGTATAATAAATGTTTATTAAATAAACCGGTCTAGTATAATAAATGTTTATTAAATAAACCAAGTTCTATTCTATGAAAGAAGGATTGATTCAAAAGAGTGTTGTGTAATGGTCTAGATTGCCTTTCATAAAAGCAAACTTCAAAATGGCTTTGCTCTATAAGGACAGAATATCACTGTATTTCTGAAAGAAATTGCCTTTCAATGACTATGTCCAAAAAATTTCTTAAATCTTTATAGAGCACAACTCTAGAGTATTCTGCTTAGATTTTCAACCCATTATTTAAAGACAGACTGATCTTGCCAGGCCAGTGTGACTCAGTGGCTGAGTGTCAATCTATGAACTGGGAGGTTGAGGTTTGATTCCCAGTTAGGGGGCATGCAGAAAACATTGGATGAATGAATCTCTCATCATTAAAGTTCTATTCCTCCCTCTCCTTCCTTTCTCTGAAATCAATAAAAATATATTTTTAAAAGAATAAAGACAAGCAGATCTTTAAAACTTCAGCAGTTCCATTCATAAAAATTACATAGCTACTGCATTTATGAAGACCATGGATTTCAGAGTAACTTGACTTCAAAGAAGATGCTATATAGGAAATTCCAAGTTTGTCCTTCCTTCTTGAAGATGCTAATTTCAATCAGTTTCTAATCTAGAAGTTAAAATGGATTCCACCAAATACAGTGTTTAAGCCAAAGCAGCCATTAAAAACAGGATGACATACTGGTGTGAATTTGTATTTGATCAATTTAGCTAATCTGGCAATACATTTCCTGATATTTCCTTCTCTGACTCAGCATGGTGATGTGCAATGAGGGTAAAGCCCAGATCTGTGCTCTCTCATCAATGAGACCAGGTTTGTAAAGCAAATTTAGACAAATGCCCTGAGCAAATACTGAAGTGCCCTTTCAATGCTCTGAAATTTTCCTCACACACACAAAAAAAATCTGAAATGGGATCTTTAATCTTAGTCTTGTATATATTTCAGGTTGGAGTCCCCAACCCGGTCTCTGGTGATGGAGGCCCCAAAAGGAGTAGAAATAAATGCAGAAGCCGGCAATCTGGAAGCCACCTGCAGGACAGAGCTGAGACTGGAGTCCAAAGATGGAGAGGTAGGGGCTGAGAAGGCCAGGAGTCTGGAGAGATGAAGCTGCAACCAACCAGCCTTTCCCCAAACTGGTTGGTTCCTCCCTTTAGCACTGAAGTTGATCCTACACTTAACAACCAAAGGAGCCAACCGGAAGGTTTTGTTTTGGGAACAGATACATCGACCAAGACAATGATAAGCCAAACCAACAATACATTAAAGTTATGCCTTGGTATTTATAAGGTGCTGGAATAATAGCCAAGTATAAAATAATACATATGGCTGTAGGGAGGAATGCTATTTCCAAATTCTGTCCGTTGTCATCATAAAATATGATTTATGTAGCTGGCAAACTAAGATGTATATCGCACACTTCCGGCTAAAGATGAACAAAATTTACTGGTAGTCCTTTTTTAAAGTTGGTGTTGCCTGTTTCTACTTTCATTGAGTATAGAGAGTCAGGTCCAACAGCTATCCCAAATCAGAACAAGCCAAAACTTCACTTGACAGATTGCAAACATTCATCCTCCTAACTCAACACAGCCTCACTTGAGTGGATGGAATAGTTGCTCATGTTTGCGCAAAGTGAGCCAAATCCCCAAAGAAAACATGATTCAGCTGCAAACTATTTTTTTTTTTAATATATTTTATTGATTTTGTACAGAGAGGAAGGGAGAGAGATAGAGAGTTAGAAACATCGATGAGAGAGAGTCATCGATCAGCTGCCTCTTGCACACCCCCCACTGGGGATATGCCCGCAACCAAGGTACATGCCCTTGACCGGAATCGAACCCGGGTCCTTCAGTCCCCAAGCCGATGCTCTATCCATTGAGCCAAACCGGTCTTGGCCAGCTGCAAACTATTTAAAGTGCCTTCACTGTGTCCATCAGCAAAGTTTTCTATTGAAGAATTTTTTAAATAAGGAAAAGTGTTTTTTCTTTATTAAAGCAAAACTCTACCCGTCCTTTCGAAGCTACTTAAGGGTATTCGTCTCCAGCTGCCACTGTTCACCAAGCCCGCCTTCTGATGGGTCTGGCATTTGCGATACTGTATTTGTTTTAAAAGAGCTAGTCAGATAGAGCAGTCAGTTATCAAAACTGTCTCTCCAAACAGCCACAAACTCCAAACCACACACACTTAGAGCAGCGACTGCATCATGTACATGGTTTATCGCTGTCAGAATTCAGACAGAAGGGATTGGTTATATTGTAGCATTCACTTAAGCCCAGAAAATGCTATATATTTTTTAAGACGTACCATACACACAGACGTATTGAGGGTCTGAGAAGTGCCAACGTAAAGAAAATGGTTAAAGCTAGCCTTCCCAAGTGTATTTCACTCTAGGACTCGATTCACATTCTACATGATATACTTTTGCAAAATGCTAATATACATCCAGTGCAATGACGTCTCACTGGAATATAAGCTTCTGTCTCATTCATCTCCGCGTCCCTGGTACCTACAGTACTCAACAGAGTATGTGCTCATTTGATTTAAGTGGAACTGAACATGCATCTGCTATTTCTGAATGGTGGGAGGGTCAAGGACAGCCTCTAACTCTTCCCTTCCTGTCTACTCTCTTTAGATTAAGTTAGATGCTGCGAAAATCAAACTACCTAGGCTGCCTCACGGATCCTACACACCCACAGGAACGAGGCAGAAGGTCTTCGAGCTCTGCGTCTGCGCCAATGGGAGACTATTCCTGTCCCAGGCAGGAACCGGTTCCACTTGTCAGATAAATACAAGTGTCTGCCTTTGAGAGACTCTCCACAGTGGACGCTGTCGGCAACAGAAGGCCTTTTTCTGGCTTCAGACACGGGCTGCCAGCTATTTTTACTAGAACACAGAAAGCCTATCAAAGACCTTGTGTGTGCTCGCGCGTGTGCTTGGGTGAGTGAGTGTGTGTGTGAGTGAACGGATATAAATATATATAAATATATATAAATAAATATATATATATCCTCTGTATAAAATGAGGTTTCAGTACAAAAGGAACCACGGGTGACCCTGTGATACCGTCATTTCCATCCCCACCCTACCACCTACAAGAAAAAAAATCAAAACACTGATCAGGCTCTGCACCCCGAGATCCTTCAGAATCACTTAGTGTTATCAGACACTCACCAAACAGCATCAACACCTCCTTTAGTGTCATTTAAGGGCAGTGATGGCGGGAATCTCCAGGTCATGCTCAAGCGCTGAGACCCTGGGGTTAAAATGGGCATTTGGTTTCCTTTTGCAGCTGGAGTGAGGCTGGCGACTCCTCCCACAGAAGTCGACCATGGAAACCCAAATGGTTGGTCTGCCTCTGCAGTCAAATATTTGGATGAATGAGGAGGAGGAGGAATTTCACAAAGTGTAAATTGCTCACCCAACTCCTCTCTTCCTTCCTTCAAACTCACATATAACCCCCTAGTCAAAACAGGAATCATAAATCAGCACAAAATCAGATAACAGCTGCTCTTCAGTTGGCTGGAAGCTACTCCATGGCCTTCCAGGCAAAGAGTAATGGGTGATCATCTCTGTTTAAAAGGGGGAAATGGCTCAAAATCTGTTCTGTCCTCATTTTTGACTTACTCAATAGACTCCAACCCAAAATTATAGCATCAATCAAAATTAACAAGAATGGAACCTCAAACCCCAAGAGGAGCCACTTGCAGATGGAAGTCTAAGAGCATCCTAATTATTTTTATATTTTCTTGGGATTGGTAGGTAGAGCCACACACTCACTAACTTTGATCTTATATATTTTTTGCGGTGTAAGGATAGTCATATTCTGAAATCCACCATTATGTTTTCTCCAAGAATAACAGATCTAAAGCACTACACACCACCCACCCAAAGGTATACTGATGTGTAGCATAAACTGAATCAAATATCTTTATCAGAATCACTGTGCCCCCACTCCCCCAACTGTGGAAACAACTAATTCCCGCCATCAGCTACCACCCATCACTCCACCTTCATCATCATGCTCCAGGGTCACCCTGGCCAGCTCTTGTGCTGGGACAGGGGATTACACCATCTCTGTTCAAAGAGGGGGAAATGTGCCTATGCCTTAAGTCAATGCACTCAGCAAGGAGAAGCACATCCTATTTATCTTATCATTTCCTGTAGTTTATTTTGGGTGATTGGAAGGGGATGGTTTAGTAGTGACTGGGCATCTTAAAAGCAGGTTGACAAGCTAAGTGCAACACTGCATAGATCATGGAGACACACTTGGCTTAGATAGTCCTGGATGCCCCTTGGCAAGGTTGTGCCCCTCCCCCAGTCCTAAATGAAGTAGTATTTGTAGGCCTGAATGGCATCTTTTTGTTTCTCAGCAAGGTCCTAATTTTTTTCTTACTTCACAAGCAGGGTAAAATTTGTCATAGGAGATAAATTGAAGTTGGATATCTTTGAGGTGACACTCAAGCATTGAGCTATGGTTTGCATATGTGGGATGTAGAAGCAAGCTGTGTGTTGCTTAGTCACTTAAAAGTAGGGGGAGGATGGGTGGTTCCAGCCTGACCATGGCCCTGCTGGCTTCCAGTCACCAGCTCCCTCTAGTCACTCTTGCCCAATGTCCCATATAGAAGAAGTGGGTTGCTCAAGAGTCAGATCATGAGATTGCTAAGTTTAAAACACTAGGGTCTAAAAAAGAATTTAAAAAAAGCTACCAAGTTACTCTGGATCAGTATTGCTTATAGGCTATGGATCACCCTGCCAGAATCTGTATTTACCACACACAGGGCTTGGCCAGCTGGGAAAGGTCCTCCTTGGCTATTGGGACCATTTATCCCATATCATTCAGATAAACAGAAGTAGCTATGACGAGGTCCTTTGTGGCTGAATACCTTAGACAAAGTGTTTTTACCATCCTTGCATTTTGTCACCTTAAGTACACAGTGTATGATGACAAGAAAACAAAAGGTTCTTAAATCTCTTTCCTCTGATCTTGTTCTAATCATTACCTGGAAGCTGAGGTCAGCACCTTGGGAATTTTATAAACAATAAAAAAGACTGGTATTGATCCCACTTACAAATTTATCCCAAAGGTAATCACATCACAAATAAAACAGAAATAATCATAGCTACCAAGAATAAAAATCAAGCAGCCATGGGGAACAGACATGACATAAAATCCTAAACTTTTGTGTTAAGTGACCACAGCATATCAGGTAATGAGCAGGAAATTTGGCATGGATTAAATTATGTATTTCTGTTCAGACTCTAGATGTGGTAAAATGCATTCTAAGTTTTTCAATGTAATTTTTTTTCTCCCTACTTCCTTCAACTAGAATATTTGTTTATGGTCATGAGAGAAAGTTTTACCTGAATACTGGAAAATATATATATAAATATCTTTTACATTAAAATCTGAGAACCTTTAATTTTAAAAAATAAGATTCTTTCTAATCATTATATATAATGGTTTCTAGACAATCACACCTTTCAGTATATTAAGCAACAAGTGGCATAACAAACAGAGAACTCAAATGAATCTTCAATATTCTAGAGGTCTAGTATGTTTATATTCTTCAGAAGAGTTTTAAAAATTAAAATTTGATCTCCAGGTAGATTTAGCACTTAGGTCTCACTAAGTCATAAAGGTACAGTCTTGGGAAACCATGAAGGGGTGATGGAGGTTTTCAAAAGTCCTATGGTGGCATCTATGTAGATGGAAACTTGATATGAGGCTTTTGAATTATGTTACCCAAGGACTAGATCTTATAAACTTGCATTGGTTTTCATTTCTTTCACATCAGTTTTCTTTGGATCATTTTCATTGTCTGTCCAGCCACCATGGACCAAAGATTGCTTGAGATTCAATTCTAGAGCAGGGGTCAGCAAACTGTGGTCCCTAAACCAAATCCAGCTCATCACCTGTTTTCATAAATAAAGTTTGATTGTAACAAAACCACATCCATTTTTGTACCTGCTGTCTTTGACCGATTTCCTACCATAACAGCAGGGTTGAGTAGCTGTGCCAGAGATCTCATGGCCCACAATGCACTACTAGTAAATAGTTACTAATTAGCCTTTATATTAATAGAATAAGCTCGCTGACCCCTGGTGTAGAGGTCATTTATGGTAATTGTAGGACACAGCAGCACAGAAAGACTTCACAATAGCATGGACTAAGCCTACATGTCCATCTGTCCTTGAGAATAGAAACACTTGGCCACTGAAAAAACTTAGCCTTATGCTGTGTTTAATTTAAAAAAAAAAAATGATTCACTTGTCTGAGAAATGCAGGCTCCCAGGATCTAGGGTGAGCAGGGAGGATGGAATTAGAGGAAGATGGAAGGAAAGAAAAGCTGTGGTCCTCCAAGAGTTTTTTCCTTGGCCCTTTAATAGGTGGCTCCTCCTGTCTGCCTCTAATGTGGCAATAAATGAAGCAGTGTTCCTGTGATTTAAATTCAGAATCTCTCCCCCTGAAGAGACTATTTCTACAACCTCTACTTAGAGGTTTCCATCTCACCTCCCCATAGTCCAAAAAGATGCCCATTCCATGGTCCTTCGGAGCATATTTTAACTTAACATGTATTTTTGGCATCACCACCTCAGTTGTTCATACCTGCATTGTACTTACAATGATATGACCACACCTGGCCTGAATGGTTGGTGAGACCAATAAATAATTAGAAATGCTGAAAGAATCATCTTAAAATATGTAGGAAGAAAAAAATATTGTACCATTCTTTCATGAAGCTGTTAGTGGAATGAACCAGGTTAATTCCAGTTTCATTTTGTTTCCAAGGCCCTGGGTCTTTGTTCTTTCATGTAGTGGGAGTGCAAAGAGGACTGTTTTGAATTCCGTATCTGGGAAGGCAGGCGCCTACCTGAGATCTGTCTCTTCAGTCAACATCCCTGTCGTTAATCCCAGCTTTACTCAATATTGTTAAAATAGCATCAATATGAATGAGCTTTTGTAATATGACTATTCATGTCAGGGAGGAAAAGTGGAATTTTTTTCCTTAATGAAAACAACCACCATTTTACAGAGTCTAATTGGCATCTCGAAAGGAATCCTTCAGTATTTTATCTGGATTCAACCAAAGGAGGACTCAATGGACAACCCTGCCCTTCGGCTAGATGAGAGTATCTTGTATTTGTGTATTTTAGGTAAAAAGGTAGCACAACGCTTGGAAAAAAGAGATACATAGATTCATGTAAGCACCTGGTTCTTATTCTTTAAGGCTCTGTGAAAGGTGAAAATCTCACTCGAGTACATTGTAAACAAGACCTATCTTCTAGCTTTCCCCTGCACCTGGAAATCTTAGGCTCAAGAAAGATAACAAAGCAGTTCCTAGAAAATGCATTTGCCTGGTGCCCCAGAAGTAGGTGTGGGGGAAAGTTATAATAAAAGAAACAACTTTAGAAAATAGGTCCTTTATCTCAAATATAAAATATCTCTCTTTTGGTCTTTCATCACTTTCTCTTTGGTGGAAGGTCCCCCCATTTCCAACATATTTCCATTAAAATAGTCAAAGCCACTGCATTGGCAAGTAGATGCATTTCTTTCTTTGTGGTAATCAGAATTTAAAATTATACAGTTGCCTCTGAATTTCTCATTCACAAAGCTAAACCACTGATAAGACGTGAAGCAGTTGGAGACCTGCTGCTTCAGCCAGCATAGCTTACCACTCACATTAGCACTTTCAAAAGCAATATGATTTCTATGGTTTTTAGAAGTTTTCTTCCTAATGGAGCCCTTGAAATTTCTCAAGGCAGATCTGAATGGCAAAGGGAAAATAATTATGGGTGGGAGGTCCT